TGCCTATCCCTGCTTCAAAGACTGAAGAACCTTTGAGCCCGGTTCTTCAGTCTTCAAGAACAGTCTGCTTGGCCTTTCATCCCATTCATCATGCAACCCCCAAACCACAGAAAACCCACTGTCGTGAGTGATTCCGACTCATAGCTATCCTGTGTAGGGTTTCCGGAAGCAGAGAGCCTCCTGTTTCTTCTGCAGAGAGGCTGGGACAGTCTAACTGCTGACCATAGGACACTAGAGCTCCTTGTGATGCCCACAGGACAGTGATTATTTTAGGTGATGGGCAGTCTGGATATTCAACATAATTGCATAACTTTTGGTATGTGCCAAACAAGAAAAAGAAACCAAAACAAACCTGTTTCCATGGAGTCAATTTTGGCTAGTGTTAATAGCATTTCATATCTGATCCAGGGCTCTATTGGCTTTTCCAGGGTTGTGTTCAGGCCTCTTTCTGGAGTGCCTGTGAAAGAATTGGCATTGTAACCATTTTGGTAGTTAGTAGCTGAAGTTTCCCTTTGGCACCAGCTCTGTTTCAATCAGCATCTCACTTTGAAGCCTAACAACAACCCTGAAGGGGAAACACTACTATTGATGAGCCCATGATTCCAATGACAGGCGGTCTGGAGGCAGTGGTTAAGGCCTGTGCTGCTAACAGAAAGTTTAGCCACTTCAACCCAAGTAGAAGTCTCCTTGCTAAAAGTTTAAACCCAAACCAACCTCATGGCTGATGAGTTCATTGATTCTGAGTTGGCCCTATGGGCCAGAGTAGAGCTGCCTCATAGGTTTTTGGGTTGTGATCTCTTCAGAAGTTGTTTCTGAGTTTCATCTGTCTCTAGGAGGAGTGGGTGGGTTCAAAGTGCCAAACTCCCTGTTATAAACAGAGGGCATTGCCACTGCTCTACCAAGGCTCCTGATAAAGGTTTCAACCTTGTGAATTCCATGAGCTTGTTCTACTGTTTTATAAGGGTCCCAAAGAGTCAGAATGGACTGGACAGTAGTAGGTTAATCCTAATGAGAAACTAAAATCCAAAAACTGAACTAACTTACCAAGACCAAGAGCTAGGAAGGTGTGTCTTGGTGTGTGAATCGAGTAGCCTCCCTAGAGAAAAAGAAGTTCAAGGATAAACCAGATCTTTAGTCAAAGCAAATATGATATGCCCCTGTACCACTTGACATATTTGAAACTCAACATTTTCTCTTTCTTTTTGCCTAAAAATATTTTAAACAAGGGCACGTTTCAAGCTCCACATTTTCGGCAGGGATGTAAGTGATGCAGTAATGAATGGGAAAAAATGCTAATTACAAACCAATGTTTTATCGTTCATCTCTATGTCTCATTTTCAGGAGTGATATGGATCTTGATTTTCATATGAGTATATGCAGAGAAGATAAATTGTTGAAAAATAAAATGTTAAGCGATGTGAGTATTTTTAAAGGAAAATGTCAGCAAAATACTGGTGCTGGTGGCAGCAGAAATGTTAGATGCCCTTCTGTACCTTCCCCCATGAAGGGCTTTTCACAGCTTTACGTTCTCAATTTCCATCCCAATTTTGTGGAAAGAGTGATGATCTCATTCTAGGCCACAGGTTCACCTGGCTGATGAGCTGGCAGGTGACACACAGCAAGGCACAGCAGGCCAGGGTTTATTGTCAGGAGGTACAAAACTGTTCCTTATGGCATTAATGGTGTTCTGGTATGGCATCATAGGATAAGCACTCAACTTCAAGGTTGGTTTGAACTACAAGGTCAGTAGTTCAAACTCATCAGCCACTACTCAGAAACAACAGCGCTTAGCAACAACAAGGTCTCGATGGCAGTAATGATAACAGTACAATAATAGCTCATATGTATAGAACACTCACCACGTGCCAGACATCATTCTAAATCCTCTGCATGAACTAACTCATGTAGTCCTAGGAACCAGATGCTATTTTATGTCCCTTTTCAGCATAGGAGACTGAGCCACAGAGAGGTTACCTTTAACGGCCTGTAGGTGACAGAGGTGGGCTTTCCCTCTTGCAGCTTGAACACAGCATCATGCTCTCACCCACCACCACTTCCTGCAAAGGACCAGGGCACTGGAGTCCTGGCACAGACGCACAGTGGAGAAGCAGTGAGCTGGGAGTCAGGACCTGTCTGTGTGGCTCTGTGAACTCTTTGGGCTTCAGTGTGTCATCTTTCAAGATAAGGTCAGGACTGGACCATTTCCAAGGGCCCTTCCAGCTCCCAGTGGGGGAAGATGTAGCACCCAGTGCCATCATGAGCGGGTGGGCTAGGTCATTAGGTCAACTGTAGCAGACACTCAACCTCTGTCTTCTGAGCCATGTGACCCCTGGACACAGCCTCTCTGGACAACAGCACAATCATTACTACTGCTTATTACTTGCTGTCACTCTCTCTGGATGTGTGAGGATAAATGATGTGGAGGCTGGGAAAGGCATGTGTCTGTATATATGCTGAGCAGCATCTTCTCTAGGGAGGTTTGTGCAGGAGGTCCCCCACACTCCCACTGAGGCAGGACCAGGCTCCAGCCCAAAGTAATGCTGTCCAAGAGACAGACCTTTCTCCAGGAGTTTGTTGGGACTTGACAAGATTCTCTCCCTCAGAGTCAACAGGAACAAAGAAATCATAATGACCTCTGTTTACTGCTAGCTGAATGGTTTGGTGGTTCAAACCCACCAGCCGCTCTTCAGAACCCCTTGACATGGTCGCTATGAGTTGGAACCAACTCAACAACACTTAACAATAACAACCAGGCTGCTATCTCACTTAATCCTCTTGTGGACATATGCTTTTCATTTTACAGATTAGGAAATGGAGGCTCAGCGAGATGGTGGGACTTGCCCAGGTCGTACCAAAGGGTAAGTGGGCAGATGAGGTGTGAAACTGGGGCCCTGAGACCAAAACCCATGCATGCACTTGCTTCCTGTTGGGTTCTGCAAGCACACTGTGCAGCAGTAGGCAAGTGTGGTCCTGACTACTGGGCACATGACTCATCTTCTTCTTTGAACATCAAACAGCAATTCCCTCCACAAACAGCCAGAGGGACTGACTGTTACCATTAATTACAAGTCACCCTGGGTCCCACTCCTGCCTAATAAACAGCACCACACCTCCCAATGACAGAATCCACCATTACCCTGCTCATGGGGAGACACCAACGACTTCATCTCAATCAGTCTTTAAGTCCACTCCACCTGGCTGGGTAATTCCCTCCAAATCCCTACTCACTTGGCCACCCTGAACTAGCAAAGGGGCAGGTTTCTACCTGAACTTAGAGATGAATTTCCAAATGTTCAGAGCCAAACCACAACAGGGAACTCTCAGGGAGTAAGTAATGAGGGACCAGGCAGTGATGTTGGATAAACCGGGCTGATGGATCTTTTTGGGGGTGTCTGGGACAGTACTCCTCAAATATGTTGTTCACACACTGCCGCCACCCTGAACTGTGCCTGCTCTTTCACGTCGACTTTCAATAAAGGAAAAAAAACAAAAACAAAAAATGCAGTTTTCCTATCCAATGTTTTCAGTAAATTTATCAGTTGAACCTGAATGAAAATGTGGTCTCTTTGCCTTGCTTCATTATTTGAACATTCATTTTAATTTTTTTTTTTACTGATGTTTTAGTCTGCAATAGCTAGGAAATAAAAAATGCTTAATGCAATCAGGGAGGTTTAGAAATCTTTGTAGGGATTCAAGCAGGTAGAGTACCATTCAATTCTGACACCTGACAAGGGATTTGATTGATCAAAGGCTCTCCAGAGAACAAATATTTGTAAACATCTCATCTAACTTCACAAGGAGGATCAACTAACAACCAACATTGTCAGTCCAAGGCTAACTTATGAAGTAGAGGTCCGACAAACCTCCTGTCTTTAACATCTTTTCCAGTTCTGACAATGGTCTCTCTCACTTGATCTCTACTTCTCTGGTAGGTTCTGGCAACGGCCACCCAGAACTCACAGTTAGGGCTTTTACTAGGGAAATTACAGGTTACAATTCAAGATCCAGTCAGGGCACAATTCTTTCAGAACAACTTTTCAGTTGTGCCCATAAGCACGCCTCCTTTGACTTCTCTGTCCCTTGCCACTTAGCCTCTTTGGACAGCCTGGCCTTGGCTCTGCTCAAGCAAATATTAAAAAGCTCCTTTAGTTCTGTTGAAAAGTGCCCAAGACACCCCCACTTTACCAGGAAGCACCGACGTGGCCACTGCACTTTCTGGCTGTTCTAGTGTTCCTGCTGTGTGCCAACTTCTGCTTTTCATTGACTCCAGTTATAACTGTCTTGAGTCAAGAAGTGTCCCTGCCAAGAAATCCCTGGACCATAGGAAGCATTCTACTCCCAGCTCTTCATGGTGGTAGTTGGCCTCTGGGGTTTTAAGTCTAGCAGGACTGACCAAGGCAAAATTGACCAATTTTGACCAAAATTAAGCATAGCAGGATTTAACAAGGGCAAATTGACCAATCCCCTGTGATGGTTCCAGATACACAAGAGTGCCATCACTTTATGTACATTATTAGCAAGCAGCCCTATCCTCTTGGTAGGTCACAAGCACTCATTTGCATAGTCCCACCCAATCATTTGTAGGGAGGTATAAGACCATGTCAAGAAAGACCATATAAAAGTGATTTATCACAATGAGATTAATATCAGTCTCCATGCTGTGAGGAAGCTGTATTTCCCTTTTAATCATCTGGCACAATGCTCTTCCCATTTTACAGCTGAAGAAATTCATGCCCAGAGAGGTAACCTGACCTGCCTTAGGCATTCAATTTAGGAGCTAACACTGACTCCCAGTCCAGCCCCACACCGGTCTTGTTAATCACAGAGTTCCTTATTTCCAACCCACACAAAAGAAAACAGTCGGAATAAATCCAACACCATTTATTATCACTCAGATATTTCATAGAAAAGAAGAGGTAGCACACAGGCCAGGGTTCTTCACGAAAAAAAACCCCTCCAGCTTTGTTCAGGTGGCTCTATTCACACCTGGGCGGGCCTCTCCCACATCAGGCGCAGCAGCTGCACTTGTCCGATGCCCCTTTGCAGATGCAGCCCTGGGCACACTTGGCACAGCCCATGGGGCAGCAGGAGCAGCAGCCTGGGGGAGAGAGGGAAGTAAGAGATGAGCTCATACACAGCCAGACATTTTCCTCCAAAACAGCACACCTGGCACGAGCTCTTCCTCAGGCAGCCGGGCTCTACACTCTCCCCAGATGCCTGGTAGGACTTTTGAGGTCAGGTGCCCCTAGGTACAGACTTCCCTATGCCATCTGAGTTCTGGGCAGAGAGCATGGGGAGGCCAGCACAGTGAGCAGAGTACAGGGCCTCTGACAGGAAAGGAACATCAGCCTCCAGAGCCCTACAGACAAGTGAGGAAGATCCTCTGATCTGGGAGGGGACCACCCATGATACAGCAGTGTCCTGCAGAGCCAGTGAAGTCCTGGGCTGCCTGTGTAGGAAAGGACTGCCTCACCAGGTCAGAGAAACCACGTGGACACAAGTTCATGTGCCCAAAGGACTTCAGAACTCAAGAGAGCTAAAATGCAAGAGAATCAGGTCTAGTTCTGGCCCTGCCTGGCTGGAGACCTCTGGGGATCTCAGTTTCCTCCTTGCAGAATAAAACACTGAGAATCAACCACATTGAAGGCTCTTCAGCTCTGAATCTGACTTTGGTACTGGGAGGAGGGAAGGGGCTGAATCTGAGCCTTTGACTGCTCCTGCCTGCTGAACTCTGGGTCCTTCCCCTGCTCAGCTGGGCCCCCAGATTGCAGGGAAGACCCCATACTCACTCTTCTTGCAGGAGGTGCATTTGCACTCTTTGCACTTGCAGGAACCAGAGCAGACACAGGAACCACCTGCAGGAAGAGAGAAAGAGCCACAGTGAGCAGTGAAGGTGGTGTAGGGGGTCTAGCAGTCAGTCAACCAACACTGCCTGCTCCTTGCTCTCTGCTGGCTCAGCCCTGGGAGCTCCTGTCACTCAGGAGACTGGCTGTAGTGTGGTCTTCATCTCTCTCCCGTCCTGATGAGAGGGAAGTGTGCCCTCCAGTTTTTACTTCATGGTAAAGGTCCCAGGTTCCTGACTGAGCCCAGGGAACGTTTATACTGAATGACCAGGATTTAAAGTCCTAAGCCTCGAAGAGGGAACGTCCCTCTCTTCCCATCTAGCCCATGCAGCTCAAAGGCCTGGACAGAGCACTGGGGTCTTGGGCGCAGCTCTCCTGGCCACATATTTTATCTTCAACCTAGCAGTTCTAAGTCTCAGTCTGTGGCCTACAAATTGGGGTGACGCTGGTACGATTCAACTCCTCTAGCTGAGGTAGTGTGGGAGGTGAAGGCACTTGGCGAGGGAGAAAGCAATAGACTTTAGAACTATAGGATCTACTTCAGCTCAGAATTCGAAGTGCTGCCTCCTCCTCCCAGAAGACAAAAGGGCGGCCTCCTGAGTCCAGAAGTTAGGTGTCCCTTACCAGTGGCGCAGGAACAGTTGGGATCCATTTCGAGCAACGTGAGCGAAGTAGAAAAGCAGGTAGGAAAGAGAATGCTGGTGGATAGAGACTACGAGCGTTTAAAACCCAAGTCGTCCGAGAGAGCGCAAAGCCCCGCCCCCCATGCGCCCCGCCTACCGAGTCAGCACCGCCCCCCGCGGCCCGAGAGAGCTGAGCGCAGCTCGTGGCAGCCTTGTGCTCCCTGCCGCGGTCTCTTGGCGCCAGCTCGCGGGAGGGGCCGTGAGCTGTGCGGAACTTAGTGTCCCAGTCATCCGCACGCCTCTTCCCAGTTTACCCATGGCTTTCCGCTATTACCCGCTTCTGGGCTTTCTGGGAACTCAGGCCCTGGGGTCCTCGCTGTTCCCGCTGCTAGGTGAGCCTCAGATTCGCTCTTTCCGGGAACCTGTGAACTACCTCATCCTTGTTCTCATGTACTACGTTCGTGTGGAAGTGGGAAATTAACACGGGATATATGCAGAGGACTGACTGATCCTTGGCCTTCGTTCCCCATCTGCAGCACGCGCCCTGTCCCGGCTTCCTGTCTTTTGGCCCAGTTTCTTCAATCCACAGTTAACACCCAGCGAAGTCTTTCTTCATCCAGTTAACCAGGCTCCAGACCCATTGCCCGGAGAGTTGTGGCTCTGTAGGATAAGCACTGTACTATGATCCCACAAAGTTTTACAGCCTCGGAAACCCCATACAGGGGGAGCTACGAGTAGGAACTGATTTGACAGTACTTTTCAACAACCACAAAACCCGTTGACGTGAAGTTGATTCCGACTCCTAGAGACCATCCGCCCTTGTAGGGTGTCCGATACCGTAAATCTTTATGAGATAAGCAGCCTCATTTCTCCAGCCTAGTGGCTGGTTGTTTCTAACCACTGACCTTGAGATTAGAGGTCCGCAGTGCTAAAGCCACAGTGCCAATAGTATTAAATGGGATCTTACGTCTTAGGCCTGCCTTACCTAAGATGTTAAGAGGCTCACTGCATCCCTCTTCAGTCCAGAAGGTATTTCCCAAATCATGGGATGCTGCTTGGAGTGTGATTGCTTCAGAAGATACGTGTTCTCCATATTAAATAAGATAGCAAAGGAATAGATTATTTCCTTTCCTTTTTTCTAACTACTTAGCACGTATTCGGAGTCCTGGTGTGGCACTGTGGGCTAATGTGTCAGACTGCAAAGTCGTTTGAACTGCAAGGTTGGTGGCTCAGGCTCACCAACTGCTCATTGGAAACCCTATACGGGGTCGCTGTGGGTCAGAATTGACTTAACGCAACTTAGCAACAACAAGAAGCATGTATTTAGCATGCGTCAGAGTCCTGGTGTGGCGCTGTGGGCTAATGCGTCAGACTGCAAAGTCGTTTGAGCTGCAAGGTCGGTCGTTCAAGCTCACCAGCTGCTCCTTGAAAACCCTATACAGGTTCGCTATGGGTTGGGATCAACTCGACGACACTTAACAACGACAACAAGGCCCTGCTTTGATCCATTTTTTAGTTTAATACTCTTTGAATTCACTGAAACCCTAAAAATGAAATGCTGCTATTTATGAGGGCCTTGGGTAGGGCAAAGAGTTAAGATGCTCAGCTGCTAACCAAAAGTAAAAGGTCCCCCCCCCAGAGGTTCTTTGGAAGAAAGTCTTGGCAACCTATCTCCAAAAAAGCCCAAAAACATTAAAAACTCCATAGAGCTCAGTTTTGCTCGGACACGTACAGAACCAACATGGGAGCAACTGGTTGTTTTATTTATGATCCTATAATGCTAATAGAGTCCTGGTGTGGCACTGAGGATATGCACTGGACTGCTAACTACAAGGTCGGTGGTTCAAACTCACCAGTGGCTCCTTGGAATCCCTATAAGGGTTGCTATGAGTTGGAACTGGCTCAACAGCACTTAACAACAATAAGGGTCTTGTGATTTCTTGAGTTTGAGATGGGTCTGGGAAGTTGTTTTTTTAAGTGCTTAAGTTTTGATCCCACTGCACTAGGCTGTTCTACCCAAAATAATTTGGTGAAATGAATGGAGCCTCTGCCTTGCCCCCTCTGGTTCAAGGCCAGAAAAGTATTTCTACCTAGTAGGTATTCAGAGACAACTCCCAAGCTGTGGCTGCCTACCCTGGGGCTGAGAGAACTTGGAAGTGGTTACCTCCTTTTGGGCTGTGGAGGGAGAAGCGGACAGGTCTCACCATGCAGAAGGACATGCACGTGTCCTGGCAGAGGAACTGAGAGGACAGTCCAACCCCCCTGAGGCTTTCATTATGGAAATACCACCTCAGTGTGGATGGGGGGCTGGTGTTTGAGCTGTTGTCTCCTGGCATTGGTATTGTCTGGTATGTGTGCCAGTGTGATGTGGGTGCTGTCTTGCCTGTTTCCAATTTGTCTGGAAGCCGTGGGGTCCAAGTCACAAATGTACCTGGCCATTGCTCTCTTACACTTTGCTTTTGGAAATTGACGTTACCAAAAAGACTGGGAAGAATTCACAGTTTTTTTGGAGGGCCTGTCAAACACAATCATTCAAGCTGCAGCTTTTTGTTTTCCAAGTCATGTGTGAAATAGCTTCCTTGCTCCACCCTCACCCCCATCTCTGAGACCCATCTCCCCAAGCCTTGGGCAGATTAATTTATAATAGGTTTTTGTGTTTTTACATTTGATGTGACTACTTTAGAATGCTTGTTTAGTTTCAGGTCCAGTGCCAAGCACACCACTACACTACTGTGAAACAGCCTGGTAAAGCAGTTAAAAGCATCGGCTTTGGAGCCAGACTGTCTAGAACCAGGCTCTACTCCTTAGGCAATGTATGTGACCTCCCACACGTCATATCTTGTCTGTGCAGTGGGGGCAATCGTGTTGTCTATGAGGTTAAATGTGTTTAGCATGGTCCCTGGCGCAGACCAAGTCATGAATGAGTGTTACTTCCCTGTGGACCAAGTGAAGTATCTGACAATCCATTGTTGTTGTTAAATGCTGTTGAGTCTGTTTCATTTCATAGCCATCCTATATAGGGTTTCCAAGGAGCAGCTGGTAGGTTTGAACTGCCAGTCCAGTGCTTATCCTACAGCACCACAACAATACAGCCCACAGGTAATCTATATACGCTCTCTACTTGATTCTGTAAGCATTTATTAGACCCTGCCTATATGCACCCATCATTCATCTGTCAGTTTGTCAATCTGTGTTACTTTCGTGTTACTACGACACTGGAAGCTATGCTTCAAAAGTATTTCAAAAGCCAGCAGGGTCACTCATGGTGGACAGGTTTCAGTAGCGCTTCCAAACTAAGACTAGTAAGAAAGTCCTGGTGATCTATTTCTGAAAATTAGCCAATGAAAATCTTATGGATCATATCAGAATACTGCCCAATATATTGCTATCAACACATCAGTATTATTGACACAAGAGCTGCCACAATGGACTCAACACATCAGGGATTGTAAAGATGTTCCAGGACTGGGCAATACTTCATTGTGCTACACGCAAGGTCACCTTGAGCTGGAGCTGGCCCAAGGACAACAAACACCAACAAGGTTGTTTGTAAAATCACTGTGCTGGGCACACGGAAGGAAGACAACATATAAATAAATAAAACCGATCCCTTTGCTGGAGGAGATCTTACTCAAGACTTTGTTAAATTCAGGGAACATTTATTTACAACTTCAAGATGCAGTTGCTGAGCAGGGGCCAAAGTGTGCCATCTCTACCCCTGGGAGAACAGTCTGGTTCATACTGATTCTGAGAGGGAGCAGGCAGGGATGATGCGTTTCCTGGGTGGGCTCAGGACCAGCTTGTTTCCTAGAAGCCCTGTATGGGGGACTCTTGGAAACTCTCTGCAGGTGTGGCGGAGCAAGTCTGCTCATAGCCTCCTGGAGAGTAGAAGGGAGAACCTGAATCACACTCAGCTGCCCAGGATTATGGGATACTTACGTGGCTCTGCTGATGGCATCCCAGTGTCCTCAGCCAGGTTTCAGGGAGATACCTGGGCCACTGCAGGCTGGTGAAAGTTCACACCCTCCTTCTGTCCTCCATGGAGGACTTGTTTCCACCCTCTGCTTTTTGGGCCAGAACACTGGAAATTAAAAAAAAAAAAAATCCTTTCGGAATTGCAATGGAGAGAGATTATAAACTTTCTAGTGTCACTAGGGACAAAGTTGGTTGATATTTTTGCCTTCAGACCATCAGTGGGGACTTCCCAGGGGTCGGAGATCCCTGCTCTGAGCCTGTGTAGGGTGGAGTCCTCCAGTAAGGTGGCTGAGGAAGAGGTTGCTTGGCAAAGTTGGAGGAGAGATCTAGGTGTTATCACTAGCCAGTCTGACCTGCCTGATCCATCATAGCCATCCTAGGGTGCGGATGGGCAGCATAGTCATATTCAGACCCTATGGGCCCTACTCTGTCTTGGGGAACCTCCCCCAACCTAAGCCTGAGCAAAACTAAGCCAGAACTTACACCAGTAAGTAACTATAACCTTGGGTCCCCGCCCCCCCCATAAGTCTGGTATCCTTCAGAGACAGAGGGCAATGTTTCACCCAGAGAAGTGGCTGGTGGTGGGTTTAGGCTTATGATGAACATCTGCCAAGCCTGACTGTTGGGCATCCGCTGCCACAACCCAGTTTCCTTTAGGAGAATTCCCTTGGCCCCATTGTGCCCAGTCTTGGTGGAAGAGGAGGTCTAGGGGTTTGATGACCCCAGGTACAAAAGCTTGGAAGCCAGACTGCTGTGCTCAGGGAGTGTCAGCCTCTTGGGTTTCTGAGATACTGGGCAGGATGAGTGCCAAGGGACATCCAGTTATAAGACATTTATGGTGATGGTGGTGGTTATGTGCCATGGAGTCAGCTGTGACTCATAGCGACCCTGTGTAGGGTGTCCAAGGCTGTAAATCTTTATGGGAACAGAAAGCCTCATCTTTCTCTCGAGGAATGGCTGGTAGTTTCGAACTGCTGACCTTGAGGTTTGTAGCCTGACTCATAACTCCCCTACTCTACCAGAGCTCCTCATAAGACATTATGCCCCAGCCAAAT